CCCCCCCCCTTCCCCTTTTTATCAACATGATATATCTTCTCTTCTCTTTTTATCATCATCTGTTATCCTCACTTCATTCGCCCATGCCATCTCACCTCAATCTGCTTGCACCACCCCCCATACTGACAAGGGCATCAGAACCTCGGCGAATTCGAATCTGTTGAACCCTCCTCGTCGACAACCTACGTCTCCTTCCGTGACCGCAAGACAGCCGAGAAGCTATACTACAGTCTTGACGGGAAAGAATTACCCGGTGTCGAGGGGAAGCTCCAACTCTCTTGGGTCAACAACGGCACTACTGGCAACAGCACATCCACCTCCACATCCACTCGTCATCCTCCTCCTCCTCCTCCATCGTCATCGTCATTTACAGCTGGCAAGCCAGCAGCTGCTTCTGCGGTCGCGAATTCAGCACTGCCGACAGCGGAAGATATAAAGGGGGAGGTTGAAGGGGGGGAAGGGGAAGAAGGGAAGGATCATGTCATGGATCAGGATCAGTATCATCATGTGGAAGAGTATACCCGTGAGCATGCCGAGGACGAAGACGCGTATTAGATGAGAGATGTCCGATACATTTACACACAATACCCATAAATATGTTGCCAATGCACTTCATACATCACTCATGTAACATATATGCAAGACCAAACTCAAGTGCACATCGACCTGCATAATCTCTATCCAAAAAGAACAGGCTATGCCATCCGTCAATGACGTCTCCTCAACTAAACTCCTACTCTTTCATTCTGGTCGACTTCTTCTTTCTAGTCTGATTTTTTTTCCTGATTTTTGATATATTATTTCTTGCATGGCGATGGGGTTTTTTCCTTAAAGGGGGGGGGGGGGGTATCGTTGAGATATATATATATATATAAATATGAAAAGGGGGGAAGGGAATATGGCAAACCGATAAGAAGTAGTCATAAACAGGGGGGGGAGGAGAAAGAGAGAGAGAGAGAGAGAGAGAAGATATCGAGGTATTCGTCATGTTAAATTAAAGACGAAAGATGTGAAATGTCGGATTGTAAAACGAAAAGGAGAAACAGAAATGTGTCTTCCCCCCTCTCTCTCTCGTCTCTCTTTCATGTTTCCAAAGGGTTATGAAGATGCCCTCGGCTGTTATGCAAAGCAGTCGGCGGGTTTCTCTTGCGTGTCGTTGCGTTATAAAAGAAAGAAGAGTGAAAGGAAAAGGGAAGAAAGAAAACGCTAGGTGATGCCTTTCTGTTGAAAAAGACTTTTTTGTTCGAGATCATCGCTCGTTCCGTTGGTAGTAAAAACGCCCGCCAATGCCAGAAATGATGTAGAAAATAGATAAATAAAAACAGAGGATAAAAAAAAAGGGTCGTTGCGTGACAATGAATTAAGCAGCGGCAGCGGCAGCGGCAGGCTCGGAAGCAGCAGCACCGTTGGTGGTGGTGGCAGCGGCCGCTCTGCTGGCTTGGGGCTCGCCGGCGAATGGCTTCTCCAGGATATCCCTTTCGAGGGCGAGGTCGTTGAAGATGTCAAATATGGTGCTGCTGTCGTGGAAGTCGTTGTTGACTGAGAAATGAGTGTCAGTGTCTAGAGGGACGAGGAGAGGGGAGAAGATGAGATAGGATGAGAACATACCGATGTTGATGAGATGCCACTCAGTCATGATGTGCTCGATCAGCTGGCGGCTGGGCGACGAGGCGTCGAAGCACTTGGCCCAGTCCATGCCCAGCTGGAAGGCCTCGTCTCTCCAGGCGAGGAAGCTGACGCTCTCGACAATCGTGGGCTGGACAATCTCCTTGCCGGGGAAGACGCCCCAGGTGACGGCGTTGGGACCCTCGGCGGGCGTGTTGGACGTCAGGTTGCCGGCCTTGGTGACGGCGTAAAAGGTGAGCTCAGGGTGCTGGGCGATGCGCTCGAGAACCTTGGGCAGCAGGTCCGGGTGGACCAGGGCCTCGAGGTACGACTTCTGGTAGACGTAACCGTTGGAGGGTCCCCAGCCGTGGACCGGGTGCGTCGACTTGGCGCCGTCGACGGCGGGCTGGGAGTTGATGGTCAGGAAGCCGCGGCTGTTGAGGGAGAGGAGGCGGTCCCTGATGGGGTCAGACTCCTCGGTGAGGGGCGACTCGCTCCAGGGCAGGGAGTCGACACCCCGGTTGAGGTAGCGGCAGAAGAGGTCGGCCACGTCGCGCAGAGACTTGGGCTCCCCCCACTTCTTGCGGTTGGCCTCGTTGGTGCCGGTCAGTCCCACGCCGTACGCGTCCAGCTCGCCAAAGGCAGGGGACCTCGAATCACCCCAGCGGCCGTTGGGGAACTCATCCCAGTCCTGGGTGCGGGCGATGTATGCCTTGGTGCGGTTGCGCCAGAATATGGGGCGCACATCCTCGTCGCGGCGGCCGAGGCCTTTGGACGGCTTCCAGGGAAGCGCGGGCTTGAAGGGACGCTCGGCCGAGGGCGCCCAGTTGAGCTCCTCAAGCAGCATGCGCGTGGCCTGGGCCAGGTTCATGGTGTAGAAGTGAAGATGGTGAATGCCGCTGGCGAGGAGCTTGCGGCACATGTCGGCGACGAGCGTCTTGCCAATCTCGCGGACGGCTACGTCGTCGCTCTTGACGGGTTCGAGCTTGTCCATCCAATCCTGGGGGATCTTGCACTGCATGTGGTTGGCGCGGCGCACGAAGCTGGCGTAGGTGGCAATGGGCATGATGCCGGGCAGGATGGGGAGGGTGATGCCGCGCTCGCGGACCCTGCCGACCCAGCGAATGAAGTTGTCGGCGTCGTAGAACATCTGCGTGACAATGAAGGACGCACCCTCGTCGACCTTCTCCTTGAGGTGATCGAGCAGCTGGTCCTCGTCCTTGTTGTCGTCGCACCCCTCGGGGTATCCGGCAACACCGATGTCAAAGTGGTCGCCGTATGTCTTGCGAATGTGCCTGACCAAGTCCTTGGCGTACTGGAAGCTGTCATCGGTGGCAGTCCACTTCTCCTGCTCGCGGGGCGGGTCTCCGCGCAGAGCGAGGATGTTTGTGCAGCCGGCCTTGTAGGCCCTGTCGAGGGCGTCGTTGACCTTTTCGAGGCCCATGTCGGTGCACGTCAGGTGCATGCACGTCTCAAGGCCGTAGACGGACTGGGCCTGGTTGACCATCTCGCAGGTGAGCTCGGCTAGACGACCGCCGGCACCCCATGTGATATCAATGAACTTGGGACCGAAATTGTACATGCGGTCCATGCGGTCGTAGAGGTTCTGAACACCCTGAGCCGTCTTGGGCGGGAAGTACTCGAAGGAGAATGAGGGTGCCCCGGTGCCCTGGGTCTCTGTGAGGAGGGCCTTGATATGCATTTCGACGGACGACGACGGCTACGATCCGAGAAGAAGGTGAGGAAAGTAGGGATACAAGGGGGGATGGAGAGGGGGGGGAAAAGAGGTTATTTAGGCGGTGTCGAGGACAGAGTTGTCGTGGGAGCCGTCATACAGGGTGACAGCGCAAGGTCGGTGTTTTCTGTTTTTCTGTCAGGGGAAGGAATGTCTGAGATGAGCAGTCAGTATGGCAATTGGGCAGATTTGGGCTCGAGGTAAGCAAGGATGCAGAATAACGAAGTGATTGACCGAGAACCAGCTGTCATGGGTAGGCCCAGGGGTGAGTGAAGAAGAGTAAAAAGTTGCTCCGTGTATCGCTGTGCATGTCAAGGTGGGGGGGGGGGAGCGGGACGAAACTTTGCAACTCACGAGAAGAATGCCTAAGAAGGCGTAGGAGACCAGCGGGAGGTTGTCTCTATAAACTTGATACGGGAGGGAGGGAAATGGAATATAGTGTCAGTCCTAGGTGAAAGAGAGAGGAAGAGGAAGAATAGAGCCTCCAGCCAAGAAGCAGGATGAATTTGGAGGAGAAAAAAATGTAGGAAGGGGAGGAGAGAGGCAAGGGTAAAAAGACGTGAATTCTTTGCTCTTGATGGTGGGGTCGTTGGAGGGGCTGCGTCTTAGTGAGTGTAGCGGGTGTAGAAGTATTTACAGCGGCGTAAGGGTCTAGTCTGGCGGTGTAGCGGCTCGTGTTTCAGTGGCTGTACGCGCTAGTTGCAATCTGTAGTGATGGCCTACACCTGCAGTGGCTGTATTCTTCCGTAGGATGAACAGTATCGCTACCCAGTCATAGCAGGGTACTTCCTTCTGCTGCTCGAAGTGTACGGGAAACACCACCGGAGGATGCCTCAGGATAAGGTACCTGACAAACTTCTCACTGCGCCGTTGTCGGTGCTTTCTTCTGCATCAAGGTTCTCAAAAGTCCAGGTCCCCTGTGGGGTTGGAGCAAAAAGGCACATTGGATTACTACCGACTACACCATGTGTCTTATTGGACCAGCGGGCAAAAGGCCTCCTCCTTGTTCCTGGTAGCGAGTGCTCTTTATCTATCACCCGGTAATTATTCTTTTCAATGGCTGGCTTGCTGAGTAGGATTCTTCGGTGAGTTTTTTTCTTCTTCTTCTTCGGCGGGTTTACGAGTACGAGAACTATCCTTCATCATCACCACCACACATTGGCTCGTCAATATGCTATGATATATATCCCTCAACAACCCGCATCATGCAGTGCAATTATGACTGCAGTCGAAACAGTCTGCCGACCTGCTCTTGCCATGATGGTCCCGTCTCTCAAGTCTTCCAGGCGTAGTAAGTAGTACGACCTGGATACGAGTACGAGGAGTCGGTTACCCGTCTTTATCCACTGGCCCTCTACTCTTCCCTCTACGAGTACACGAGTACGTGTAATGCTACAGCAGTATAGTAATACTACAGCAGTAGTAATACTACAGCAGTACTCCGTAGTAATACTACGGAAGTTGCCCCACTCCACCTCTCCACCTCTCCGTCTGCAGCTGCCTGCACGTCGTACACCACCTCGTACTGCTCCATTCTTCAATTGGCGTTGCTATTGACGAACAGGCGTCAATAAAGAATGAGAGACAGGATATCGAGTTCAAATGGCTCACTCATACGCCGTACCTGTAGTCCGTTTCGCTTACTTGCAGAAGAACCCTCTCTGGTACTATCAGTACGCACAGCTACACCCCAACACCACGCAGCCATTGTATTGATACCCTTTACCCCTCCACACCACATATTACACGTCGTCGTACTGATCAGCGCAGGATCTGGTCCCGACACCCGTCCGCCCTCGTCGTCGTCATGACAATGTAAACATGGCGAACGTTGGATAGGAACAATGTGAGGAATCCTACCTTTTCCCTTGAAGAGTTTGTGTGCGGAATGCACGTGCCATGCGAGGTATCAACCCTCCATGAACCTAAAAGAGAACAAGGTCGTCAAATCGTCAAGAGGGAAGGCACACCTCCCGAGGCAGCTCCTTCCCTCAGTATCACGGGTTGCATCGATGGGAATCACCCACGTCCCATGAGCAGAAAGACCAATTCTCTCAGACTGGCTTGATCGCTGCCGTATCTCCTAGAAACACCCATCTCCAAGCATCGCATCTACCCGTCTGCCTAGCCCGTTGGGGACGTTCTGGGGTTCCAAGATTATAGTACTTGGCGTCTTTGTTTCCTAGACTTATTCATCATTCTTCATTTCCGGGCACACTTCCTATTCTCCGACCCATATCGGAACAAGCGTCAGCTTTACAACGCTGCAGCAATAGCTCCCAATGCCTCTCCGTCGCAGAAACAGCATGCACGGCGGGGGGCGGCGAATCGGCAGCTTCGTCATGCCGCTCTACACACTCCGGGAAAGGAGCAGCGAAGCCAGCCGTGATTAGGATGCCGCTTCCGGCTCTGAAAAGCAGCGACCTGACCCGACTGAGTGGAGAGGCACAGCCCCCGAGTATCTCGCCAGCCTCGCCTTCAGCTCCCCTCGGCTCCTCTCTCCGACGGGCAGCCCTCCCGTGCGCAGGCCGAGGGAGCAGAAGGAGCAGGCATGCCGCCGACAGCTGCGCGAGCCTGGTGGTCTCAGTTTGGACATGTTCCCGAAAGGGGAGCCCTGTACGGACCATGACCCTGGGCGCCTGGTGAGCGACGCATCGTCGAGCTGCTACGACATGAGCCCGCCATCCACCATACGCGGCGGCACCGCGCACGATGAGAACCTCAGGCACGGAAACACTCTTAGGGCATCCGGTCTGGAAAAGTACAGCCGCGCAAACGACTGTCTGTCCAACCTGCGGTCGAGCTCCGGCGGCAGCAGTGGCGTCAGCGTGCACGGCGCCGCCGAGGATGCCGCTGCTGCGGCCAGGGGGTGGCAGAGGGGACTGTCGACGCCCCCGACGGCGGACAGATCCGTCAAACGGAAATCTTTCGGGCTGGGGGTCACCAACGGCAGCGGCGGGTCCAAAATTCACGACAGATTCTCCTCTCTGACGTCAAGATCCCGCCACTATGACGGCACGTCTGAGGACCTCGGCGAGCCATCATCCACGCGGGAAACGGTCACAACCGAAGATCCACGTCGTACCGTTGACCTACACCCCAAACGCAAGGCCTCCGTTTTCTCGATGCGCAGCCGTCCCGAGACGATGGGCCGGAAGAGACGTCGCTCCCCCGTGCTCCAGAGATTCGCCGACACCATATCCCAGAAGTTGACATCTGTCAGGCGCAAGCTCCGACACCGCCGAGAGCCACCCGGAAGACCCACCAACTTTGCCGCATGGAAGGCCGCGCGGGTGCAAGCACAGCGCACCCATCGCACGGACGCGCCGTCTCAGTCGGGTCTGTTCGGCGTCGGCCTGGTCAATCACTCCGCGGACAGCTCGTTTGCAGGTGTCGGGAGTGGTGAGGGAGGGAGCGAGTGGTGGAACGAGGGCGCAAGTAAGTACTCTGCACCGCCTTGGATGGCCTTTGGCAGCGGCGGTAGCCTATATGCATCAGCACCGCCTTATTCACGTCATGTGTGATGGCCAGGTTGTGTATGGCGTGCATCAAAGTCAAGATGCAAAGTAAGACTAGGAATCGTTTAGAGACAGAAAAACCTCATCCATCCACACCTAGTAGGTAGAAGGGGTCCCGTTCCGTTCAAGAAAAGAGATGAAGAAGATTCTCAATGATATAGATACAGGAAGACAAAAAAAAAGAAAATGAACAGGTATATCCATGCGCCTGCCCGCTCGACAAGACTATAAAATGAAGGGGGGATGCGAGAAAAAGAAGCCAAAGAAAGTGAATAAACGAGAGAAAGAGGGGGAATTATTATACTCAAATGCTCACAAAATATACCGGAACCTGGAGCCCTGCTTCGTCCCCCGTCGGCCGCTAGCAGCGACCAGACCTTCCTCCTCGTCGTCAGCAACAGCAGACGGGCTGGCAGCATGGTCCTCAGCATCCAGCGCGGCGTTCCTGCGACGGAGGATGAACCTCAGCACAAAGGCCAAGACGGCGACGGCCGTCATGGCGACGGCACAGATCGTCATGCCACGCGTGTAATACGGCGCATCGGCGACGGGGTACAGCCTGGTCCCGACGAGGGGCCCGCACTGGCCGACGGCCTGGAGGACGGCAAAGGAGGCGGCGCCCCTGGCCCCCCTGCTCTTGCGGTGGTTGTTGTTGACGGACCAGACGAGCAGCATGGTGACGACGTTGAAGAAGCCCACGGCGGCGGGGTACACGGCCGCGTAGCGCAGCCAGACGGGCAGGCGGAGGGGCTCGGCCGCGCACAGAGTGGCGTAACCGGCCGCCGAGGCCAAGGCGTGCAGCGCCAGGGGCAGGGTGCGCGAACCCAGACGGTCCGAGACGCGGGCCGTGACGAGCACGGCCGCGGCGGCGACCAGGTAGGGCGGCGCGCTGAGGGCCTGAGAGCCCAGACGCGTGTGGCCCATGTCGGTCAGGATGCGGGGCAGGAAGGCCGGGAGGCTGGAGTAGGCCATGTTGGTCAGGAAGAACATGGCTGCCGGGAGCCATATGGTCGGGTCGACGAGCATGGATACCATGCTCCTGCTGCTGCTGCTGCTGCCGACGCCGTCGCTACCCGACCCCGAGGCGGCAGCAGAGTCCTGGTCATCCTGCTCCTGCTCGCTGCGCAGCCGTAGACGAGCCACCTTCTTCTCCCGCTTGGTGAGATACCGCGCCGTCTGGGGCGAGTCCGGGATGACTGACCACGCCACCACGGACACGATCACCGAGGGGAAGCCTTCCACCAGGAAGAGTAGTCGCCAGGGCGCTATGGGTCCCGTCTCGGCGAACTTGACAATCAGCCAGGCCAGCGTGCTGGCGAAGCTGGTGGCGAGGGGTGCGGCTGTATGATATCCTGTTAGTTCTTGATGGATGATGACGGTGATGCCATCGCTGTCGTTGAAGAGAACAAGGACAGATCGAAGAAACTGACCGCAGATGAAAATGGCCGTTCGGAAGGCCAGCTCGCGCCTCTTGAAGAAGTAGCCCAGATAGAAGGGTATGCCGGTGAAGCCGGCCTCACCGATGCCCAGCAGGGCCCTCAGCGCGATGAGGACGGGGTACGACGTCGCCACGGCCTGGAGCGAGGCCATGACCCCCCACGACAGCACCAGCATGGACACGTACACGTGCGCCGGGACCGTCCTCCACAGCAAGGCCATCCATTCGAAGGCGATGTACGTCAGGTAGAAGGCCGTCAGGGCCCACTGGTACCAGTCCGATCTGTCAGGGGACGTGGCGGCTAGATCATCGTCCATTCCCGCGATGTAGGCGTTTCCAATATCTGGTTTCCCAAGTGTCAGCAACTCTTCTGTTCTTCTCTTCTCTTCTCTTTTTTTTTTCACTGCAAAGATTTCCCCCTTGCGTGTGGCAGAGACAAGAAAAAAGGAAAGAAAGGAGTGAAGAAAGAAGAGAGAGGAGAGAAAGAGGAGAGAAAAAAGAAGAAGAAAGGCCCCTTACTTGATCGATCCAGAAACGAAAGCATGTACAGCAGAGCAACAAACACGACGAGCTTGCGATCAAACTTGCGCCGCACAGCAGCCTCCTCATCGGGAGTGTACAGCTGGAAACTCTCGACGGAGGAAGAACTCCCGTCAGGCGTGAGCTGCTGCCGCCGCTGCATCTCTTCCGAATCCCCTTCTTCTCCAGATCCTTCTTCCTCCTCCGCGTCCCACAGAGGTCTGCTGCTCATCGATCCCCTCCCCCCTCCTACCGTCCACGATACGTCGCTCGGTCGTCGCATCTCGTATATCTCGGCCCCCGGGCCGCCGGGACCGCCCACCGCTGCGTGGAGGTCCAGATCGTCAATGTCACTGTCGTCTAGGTCGAGTTCCGCTCCCGTCTGGGCGAATGACGGCGATAGCTCTCCTGGTGTCCTGATTCCACCTCCGCCGCTGCCGCTGCCGCTGCCGCTTCTGCCACCACCGCCGCCCAAAGGCAGCAGATGGCTAGACGTCGATACCATTCTTCTAGTTCTGCGATGGTAGTCGATAGAGGTGAGAGGAAGAGAGGAAGGGAGAGGAGGGGGGGGGGGGGGGGGGGGGGGGGGGGGGGAGATAGAGACGTTTGTCTCGTCGTCGTCGCTGTTGGCGTCGTCGTCGTCCAGAATTGAGCCGGGGCTATCAAGAGGACCGGCTCCCGGAGTTGGTAATATCACACGGTTTCATTGCTCGACGCTGGGGCCGTGTTGTCGCGATCTTTCGGTCCCTTTCTCTTGCCTGCGTTGAGAGGAGAGGAGGGGATTGCAGTCGGGGACAGGGGATTGCTCCGTGAAATGTATGGAGTACCGCTACCAAGGTGATCGCCATCTGCCAAGACTAATGTACTCCATACTCAATCTGGACATCATCAATCCACCACAAGGCATCATTTTTACGGCATCAACAATTTTGTCATCTGTATCTCCCATCATAGAGGCAGCATGGTTTTTGGATTTTTATTTTCCGGCCTTTCCATCCTTCTTGCTCCCATCCTGATACTATGCTAAGTCATACATACTGGGTGAATACTAGTGATTGCCCATCCTTGGGTTTCTCTCTCTCTCTCTCTTTCTCTCTCTCTTCTATCTTACCAAAGTACAAGGCCCGCAGAGGAATCAAAGCTGGCAGCGGCTAGGAATGCTGGATAAATACACCGAAGCCAGAAAATCGTAGAGAGACGAACAAAACCGGAACATGCTTGGTGAGTTCGAACCATCAGGAACCATCAGGTTCCGTCAGGGAAAATCTTGGACTAGGAAGACGATAAGGACAAATTCGAGCCTCCCCCAAAGGCCTAAAGGTGTCTTCGCCAAGACCCGTCAAAAGGGGATGGCTTCTTATCCGGGTGTTTCCTACCATGGCTTCGCCCATCAGGTGTCGACGAACTGGCCTCACCCGACGCCTGCTTGTTCTTGTCGGCACGTTTCTTTCCAGACAGAGGTATCAGGTTGAACAATGCTTTCCTCTTCTCCTTCCGGTCACTCTCGGCATTGCCATTCCCGTCCCCATCTTCGTCTTGCTTCTTGTCACCATCGTCTTTCTTGTCGGCGCCGTCGTCATCGTTGCCAGACTGTCCAGAAGCCTGCGACTTATCCGACCTTCCGTCCGCTCCGCCTCCGTCGTACGTCAGTGACGGTGGTATCTTTGGGCCTTCGGCACAGTTGACAATGTACCAGCGAACTGGCTCTTTGGGCTGCAGCGCGCTGCGCAGCCTAGACAGCCAGGCAGAGCTCGTAGACAGGGGGCACCTATTGAACTTGTAGAACTCGATCTCGGTGCTGGTGTCGAGATCGACGCGCACGACGTAGTTGGCCACAAAGGCATAGGGCCGAGGCGGTTCTTGCTCGGTGCCTCTCCCGTCGTACTCTTCCATGAGCTTGAGGCCTGTCCAGGCGTGAGAGTTGACCCTCGGATCCTCGTCCGGGGACATGTGCGGCTCGGGCAAGATGTACGATTCCTGGCGCATCTGCCACTCCGGTGCCTGGTTGTGTCCCGGCTCGGTGGGCAGGGGAATCGACCTTTCGGGGATGTACTTGTATTCTCTCATGAGCTCCATGATAACGTCAGCGCCTGCATGGTCGCCGATCAACCACTCGGCCTTGCTCGCCGGCAGGCCGCTCCGCTCAACAAATCTGCGGATGCTGGGACGTCCCCAGCGGAAGCCATGGAGGAAATAGGCCGGCATCGTGGGAACGACGACGACGCTGAGCAGCCTAACACTGGCACTTCTCTCGTGTTCAAGTTGGTCCACTTGATCAGATGGTGAGACTGATTGATACTTGAGCTGAGCGGAAGAGAAAAAAAAAACCAAAAAGGGAAAGGATGGAGAGATGGGCATGTGGGAAGTTGTGAGGTGATATGCTGCGTGGAATACTAGACGGTCACCGTGACTGTCGACGGTAAAGGGAGGCGAGATGCAGAGGCAGCCGGGGAGGATGGATGAGAGGGGGTGAGGGTTCCATGACTGCAAGAGCAAGTACGATCCATCTGCTGTGAGCCCTCTTGACCGTGACCCTCCATGGCTGACGAAGAAGGAGTCTAACCCATGATGCCTACCAAGTGTAGGGACGTGCAGTTACTCGGCAGTTCTCTTTTCACGACGATGAGGGAATGAAGGATAGGCACGCAGGTACGGGCGGGATTCATGGTCGATAATGCCTGAACGTCGTGCTTGTCAGCTTCACTGCAACAGCCAAGACACTCGTAGGGGTAATTCTCTCTGGCAATACTGTCCATGTTGTTGTCGGAAGGATCCATCGTTGTTGATACTGGCTTGTTGAAAGGTAGCATCGGTCACATGCACCTGTCATCTCAGCTACACCAAAACATGACATGCACACAAGAGACAGCAGCTGACGAATACCACCGCTACTCCGCACGGAGAGAGAGGGATAGAGGGAGAGGGAGAGGGAGAGGGAGAGGGAGGGGGAGAGGGGGAGAGAGAGAGAAGAGAGAGAAGAGAGAGGAGGGGAATCAGGGGGGATGCCCATACCAAGTTTCAGCATTCTTGAAATAGTAGTCTGCAACAACTCACCACGCGCGTTTACTACACGGCCAAGGCTATCCGATCAAGGGCTCAGCCGGGGAACAAGAGGACTATTGTATAGTACAACCCTCTTCCACACCAGAAACAACTGGTCGTCCAGAACCTGATGATGAGATGGCGTCAGACTGTCGTTTCAAGCTGCGAAAACCGGGCCCGGGAGAGAGAGGGACAGAGAGAGAGACAGAGAGAGAGAGAGAGAGAGAAGACTCATTCCCAGTGTCAGCTCGGTGTCTGGCACGCTGGAGATGATAGTCCGCGGGACTTTGGGGTTACATGTACCTGGCCCACAGAGCCGGCAAGGAACTGGATTCGTTCGCATTGTTTCAATGTCCAGGTCTCCAGACCCTTTAAAACTGCTAGTCTGTCGAGCGGCGTCGTCTAAGCCCTCGATGGTGCGGGACGTTGTATGTCACTGCAGTCTCTGTCTCTGTATGTCTTCTTTGTCTGTCCCACCCCCCCCCCCCCCCCCCCCCCCCCCCCCCCTCCTCTTTTTTTTTTTTTTTTTTTTTTTTGCCCCCCCCCCCCCCCCCCCTCTCTCTTTTTTGTAATGATGATGGCTGTTTCTTTGAATGTTTTGACGGATCATTCAAGCCATTGTTGTTAACCAGGGGATCATCTGCTTCAGGGGCTATCGGCCCCTCCTCTCTCTTCCTCCCTCCCTCTCTCTCTCAGACTTGACTAGCATGAGACTAACACGCGACAATGCTACATGACCCTCTTTCTCTTCCCCTCAAGTCAGAAGTCGTCTGTCTTTTTCAGCAGTGGATCTGGTTTTGTGGGCTTTTCATTCTTCTTCTATTTTTCTCTTCCCTTCTCTGCTATCCTTTTGACAGAAAAATATCATTATTCTCCTCTATTCTTGGACGGACCAGGGAGTTTCGAACCGTCTTATACCATCATTCACGCACATCATCATCTCTGGTTCATTGCGTCCTTACCAAGATTCACTTGGAACGACCAACATTCTCGTCCTTGTTCTTCTTACGCTCCAAATTTCCTTACGCGCACGCATCCAAGCTCCTACTCTCCACTCCGGATGACATCCTGGTAGACCGTGCCGTGCAGATGGGGTAGCCGCCGCCGAGCTGTCGGTATAATCCGTCTTCGCCGATGGTAATCTTCAACTCCCATATCGCAGAGTAGTGTCATGGAGTAGAGGTGGGAACCTACAGCCATCTCTCTGCTCTCATCGTATCAAGTAATGCACAGTCGAGGCCATCTCCGTCTCTCTCTCTCTCGTTTCACCATCTCTCCCGTCTCCCACAGTAAACGTGGACCTCCGCATTGTAATATCTGTTCCTGGCCCTCCGACAGGCTGACTCGATGACCGGCACTGGACCCAGGGTGACATCGTCTCCATTCTTCATGCCCGGACCATCATCACGCACCGGTGCTTCTTCTCCTCATGGTGTCCCCTCCCCTGAGATTCCAGATGTAGACTGCTATATACATCCTGGAGGGGCGGGGGGGTGTCCCATAGGAAGGAAGGCCCATCTTCCTTGGTTGACAAGAGGGCAGAGTAGGGCACGCGATCGGTTCAGAAAGGAAGAAGAGAGGGGAGAGGGAAATGTGTATAAAGGCCGTGGACTTCTCGCTCCTGTATCGATGTCTGATTCAACCGCAGCAGTAGCAGACTTGAGTTGATCTCGTCCATTCCTTCCTTCTTACATTCACCACATTCCTTTTCATCTTCATCTTCATCTTTGGGAGAAGATCCCAGCTTATGCCCCTCCTTTACCGAAACGTCCATTCAGCTCAAACTATCCCATCATGAAGACCCGATCCCTCTTCGCTGTCACTACGGCCACCCTCCTCACCCCGGGAGTCCTAGGTCTTGATATCCCCTCCAACGTCCGCAGCTTCTACGACCAGGTCCGCAGCAAGGGGTACTGCACCCGCAAGTTGGCCACCGGCTTTCACAATTCTCAGGATGACCACGGTGGTGAGTAGAGTATATATCCCTCCTCCTCCTCCTCCTCCTCCTCTTCCTCCCTTTCGTCTTTCGGTCTTGCCTTTACATGTATGCTAAGATGACTTCAGACATGTCCTACTGCGGTGACCACCTCGTCGACTCGGGCGTGGTGTACATTCAGGGTCCCGGTAGACTGTCCAACATGGACGTCGACTGCGACGGTACCAATGCCGGCTTCCACAACGATGGTCGCTGCAATGGCGCCGGCACCACCGTCTCCACCACGGCCGTCAGGGACATCATCGAGAGCTACGACGTCGGCATCACCGACCTGAGCAGCTACATCCATCCTTTCGTCGTCTTCGGCAACACGGGTGATAAGCCCGGGTGGAAGACCTTCGACCCCAGGGAGTTTGGCGTTGAGAAGACGAGTGTCATGGCTGTCGTTTGTGGTGACCAGATGGTGAGTTTCACCTCCCACCTCCCTCATCTTCCATCTTCTCCCCGCCCCCCCACCTTGCACCGTCCCGACCTCTGTGCTTGTGTGTTGGGGGAGGGAAGACGACAGAGCCGTACTGACGTGCTGCAATAGTTCTACGGAATCTGGGGAGACACCAACGGCGACGGCGGTGACAAGGCCCACGTGGGCGAAGCCTCCCTCTCTCTCGCCACCGCCTGCTTCGGCCACGGCATGAGCGGAAGGGCCGAGGACGACAGCAGCCACGACGAGGAAGACGTCCTGTACATTGCCTTTACCGGAGAGGATGCCGTCCCCGGCCCCCGCGGAGCCTACTGGGACGCTGAGGACTTTGATGCCTTCCACAGGAGCATCGTCGGTCTCGGCAACAGCCTCATCAGTCGTCTTGGGAGGACCGACAACAGCAACGGCAACAAGACCGCCTCTGCTGCCTCCACCACCACCACCACCACCACCACTGCCACTACTACCACCACCATCACCATGACTACCGCTGCCACTACTACTGGTGCCCATCACCTGCATGCGCCTTCGTCTGGATCCGAGGAACCGACGTGCGTGTAGGAGTCTTGTGGGGGGGGGGGGGGGGGGGGGGGGGCGGGCAATCGGCGGATATATGGTATCACTTATCGGTGTACACATGTAGATTGCATACACGAGGATATTACCAAGTTCGAGACTGTACGGACATGAATGTACTGGAACCATCCTTCTTGCCCACCACCTTGGTCACGCCTTTGACCCCTTGTTCTTCTGCTAACCTGAGGAGCTCTACCTCTTGCTTCCGCCCGTCTGGGACCCATGAGAACTTGGCCACATAACCGTTTGGCGTCGTGTAGCATGTGGTCCCTCCGGCACACAACCGCATTCTGCCGCATGATCGGACTGCTTACGCTCGCAGGTGTTTGGAAAAGGATGACCATCCGGCCATGCGCCTGGGCAGTGTATAGTGTTTTGGTATGTAGTAAGGTAGATGAAAGTTGTTCAAAAGGTCAAATTCTCTCATCTCTTCTCTGCCTGCTGGACTCGACATGTCTATGCTTCATTCGGCTTACCTTAGGCTTGTGACGTAGGATCTCAGCCTATGAGTCACGACAAATAAGACGCGAGCCAGCGACGCAGACATGACAGAATCATGCCGAAGTTACCCCATTCGGTACGGTCACATGACCACAGTTCAATCTCTTCTGTAATCTGCTTAGCCAGCTGCGATATGCGCCTTTTATGATTGGCTCATCCTAAATTTGCAGCCAAGAATAGGGCCAATTCATCATGCATGTGTGCGCGGCCAACCCGCTATCCGTCGGGGCCTAACCGATAACCTTAAAGAACGTTACTTATATAACCTTCTTAGTTCCCCGGTTGCCCCACTCCCTACTGACTGCCACCGATATGTCCTGACAAATTCCACCCAGAGTATTCTTCGCAGAGGAGGGTGTCCGGCATGAAGCTGCACGGCGCGTGCCCCGAGGGGCCGGGCTCAGTGCTGTCGACGGCGGCGGTGGCGGGCGTTAGGCCTTGACCCCGACTCTGGAGAGGAGCGGCGTCGGTGTCGGTGTCGGTGTCGGCGCCGGTAGGAGGCTGGGCGTGACGGGCCTTGAAGGCCTCCAGCCACGAGATGTTGTCCGCGGCGGTCTGGTTCCAGCCGTCGTCGAACTCGTAGATGATGATGCGGGCCTGTCGCTGCAGGTCGTCGTCCGACGGCTCCGCCCCCTCGGCGCGCTGGGAGCGCAGGAAGGCGGCCAGCTCGCTCTCCAGGCGGGAATAGTTGTGGACGGTGGAGTCGATCTTGGTCGGGTCGGTGGAGCGGATGATGGCGTCCTCCAGGTCCTCGGTGCGGGGCAGCTGGGCGCGGCGACGGAAGGGGGCCAGCCAGCTCGTCGACTCGGTGATGAGTCGGAGGAGCCAGTTGGCCACGGTGTCGGAGGGGTTGGCCGAGACGTCCTCGACGCGGCCGACGATGCGGCAGGCCTCGTCCTGCAGCTCGTCGTCCATGGGCGTCAGGCCCAGAAGCCGCTTGGCGCGCACGAAGTCTTGCAGCTGGAACTCCATGGGGCACTGCTCGAACAGGTTGTCCTTGCCGTTGATCTTCAGGCTGGCCAGCCTGTTCTCGGCCGCGCTACGGAGGGGCCCGAACCGCGCCTTGTTCTGCAGCCCGTCGGATTTCATGATGACGTCTCGCAGCCAGGAGGCCTGCGTGGCGATGCCCTGGAACGACAGGGTCTCGGACGCGAAGATGACTCGGCACCCTTCCATCATCATCTCCCGGTCCGTCGGCGGCCGTCCGGTGCTCTCGCGCTTGTTGGCGTCGAAGTAGGCCATCTCCAGCTTGATGAGCTCGTACGCGTTCCGCGGCGTTTCGGGTGAGGGGCCGTTGGCAACGTAGGGGAGCGGCGATGCCCTCTCGTGATGGATAAGATCTGTAATATATATACATATATATATGTATATATATGTAAAGATTTCATTAATTTTCCGTTGGTATCAAAAGTTTAGACGTCTCAATCTTGTCTATGGGATAGGCCACAGGTTGCATACAGGGCGGGATGGAATTCTCAATCATGCCGAGCACGGGGGGGTCGAAGCCCCAGTCGCCTTTCCAGTCGGCCATGGAGCTGCCGGTCTTGAAGTGGTCGGCCAGGTGGTCGACGCGCATGGCCCAGCTGTCGGTCTGGATGCCGCAGAAGCCGCAGCGGGCCCTGATCTCGGGCGTCGCCATCTTCCACGTCCTCATCGACCAGTCCATAAACTTGACGTTGTGCACCAGCTTCAGGTGCTGGTTCAGGTGGTCCTTGCGGTAGAAGGTGCGCTCGCCGGGCGACCGCTCCTGGCAGGTCGAGTGGTTGTGGCCCTCGATGTGGTCTTCGTCCGGGTCGGCGGCACCGCAGAAGACGCAGCTCGGCTGGCCCGTCTCCGGGTGGGCCGCCCGCGACCCCCACGGCGCGCACACCCACCGCTCCAGCGAGAGGTGCAGCGACTTCTCGTGCCTCTGCCAGTCGTGCTTGGTCCGGAACGTCTCGGTGCAGAAGGTGCACTGGAACGTCTTGGCGGCGGGGGTGGTGGCGGCACCGTCGCCGCCGCCGCCCCGTCCGCGTCCGCCGCTGCTGCTCCCCCCCCCCTGGGGCAGACCGCCGGCGGGCTTCCGACGACGCCGTCGCCGCGACCTGCTGTTGAAGGTGGCCGATCCGAAGGACCCCCACGAGTTGAGCGAGCTGTACGAGTACGCCGACGACCCGTTGCTGGACCGCGACGTGCCGAGACTGCTCGCGGACGACTGATTGCACAGCGACCGGCCGGACCCGTCGTCGGGTGCAAAGTTGCTCTCCATGCCCGACGACGAGACGGCCGAGGACGAGGCCGTGGTGACGGCCCGCGCGATGGCCGTGACGGAAGCCGGCTCGTTCTCGGGCGGAGAGTGCTGCCATCGCTGCAGGGGGTTCATGCTCTCGAGCGAAGGGGTCGCGCGCCTCTGCGGGATCTCGACGGGCCCGCGGACGGACCAGTTGGCCGGGTGGGGGGACGTGGTGCGCGGGGGCTGCACCTTGCCCCGACGCCGGGCGTTGGCGAGCCAGTTTGTGATCTGAGTCTTGTTGAGGCCTGTTTTGCGCTGGAGCACCTCCTTCTCCTCGTCGCTCGGGTACGGGTGCCGGTTGTGGGTCGAGAGCCAGTCCTTGAGGATCCGCACGGACTCCCTGGAGAAGCGGGCGCCGATCTTGGGAGGGGGGCGGTCCTGCCTGCCGGGGAAGCCGTCGCCGGTGAGGGCGGCAGCGGCGGCAGCAGAAGCGGCGGCAGCGGTGGCAGATGCCGCGACGGGAGTGCCGCTGCTGGCCATGTCAAGGAATAGAGACGGCCGGTCGCTGCCCGGGTTGCTGGGAGGCACCACGCCGCCAGAGACGATGGCAGGGTCCTCCTGGGACGGCATGGCAGGGAAGCCGCCGGTGGTGGCATCTCCTGCTCCTTGGCTGAAGGTCCAGCTGTCGAGAGATGGGAAGAGACTGGTCGTGGGCTGGGGGGCGACAGTGTCCGGGTTCTCGGTGGCAAAGTGCTGGAGGGCGCCGTAGCTGAACTCGTCCTCGTCAATGTTCTCAAAGGTCAGGTCGATGTTTTCGAGGGAAAAGTCCATGGGTATGATGTTGTTGTTGTTGTTGTTGTCATCGTTCATGTTGCTGCTGATGTTGACGGAGTTGGTGGTGGGGGATGGCGGCGGCATCATCATGCCCACGAGTCTGGGGTCAACGTCGTAAGATGTCCAGAGCTCCATGCCATCCTGAGCCAGAGCAGTCTCCGAAGGCAGCGCAATATCATAGTCGGGGACGGTATCAGTAGCAGAAGCCAGGCCGGTATGGTCCCAGTTGACAAACTCGTCCATGTCGTCTGCCATTGCCGGCGAATCGACAAGGTGATAATATGTCGTTTCCACTTTCTCGTCGTTGGGGCTTGAGTGAGAGTCGACCACAGGCGCGCCCTTGTCAATGGTCTTCCCGAAAGGCGTATATATATATTTACATATATATATATGTGTGTGTGTGTGTATGAGTAAATAAGTAAGTCCTCACTTCACTCCTCAGGCCTTATGGTTGCAGATCTGGGGAGCAGCCCGGCAGTGACACTACTGCTAATGCTGATTGATGTATTACTGCAGGATCAGATAGACGAGGATGAGTCTTTGAGTTGTAGTAGAGGAGCAGACTGCGCACATCCGTCTAGACTTCCACCTTTCTCTGGGAGAAGGCAAGAGACCGAGTAAAGAGAAAGGGAAGAAAAAAAACTGGAAGAAAAAAAAAAGAAAGAGGGAGAAAGAAAAAAAATCAAGAAGAGAGTTATTTGCGAGGATTCACAGTCTCCCGCCAACCTCGGAGTCATCCCATGGCCATTTCCCGTAAGCATGCAGAGGAGGAGGAGGAGACTATGGGGGATCTCTCTGTACGCCCTTTGATTGACAACTTCACGTTTACACGCACTGTCAAATCACACTGTCCTCAGTACCCGTCGGTCTGCGGCACGGTGCATGCTGGAGCGGCGTGGAAGGATGTCTCCGGCCTCGTCACTCGGTACAGTGCCAGATCCGAGTTCTTCCCCGATGTCAGTCCCACAACTTGTTGGTCGAAAGGCGTATCGCCACCACTATTGCGAGGTAGGTGCAGGAAATGCTGCTGCTGCTCGCACATATGCGAACTGATACTGTCACTGCCAGCATTATCAATATGTACGGCGTGCATATATGCCTATGCCATTACCATAGGCAGACGCTCGTACAGGATGCTGTACCTATCACAATAAAGATACCGGGACAGTTGGCAGCTCGGGTTGGTGACTGTGTCTTCTCATCTCCGACACAGCCCGGTTCTAACCGTTGCTGACCTTTCCCTCCTTCAACTTTACACCGAGTCACCTTTTATTGTACGGCGTGGCGACGTAAGAGGGAAAGAGACGGACTCGTCCTTCCCGCCCTCTAGAAACTGCTGCTCAGTAAGCAGAGCCGACACCGGACTGCCCCCCCCCCCCCCCCCCCCACTACCATCATCATCACACCACTGAAACCACCCACCATCATCAACACACCACTACCACACTTACTACAGATCTCTCCTGTGCGAATCTTTCACCGCCAGTGTTATCTCGTGAACATTTCGGGGTTTATATCCGGCTATTGCCGTCTCTATCCTGCCCTCCTACAACAGTTCAGCTCCACGGTTATGTTTGCATGTGTGCGATTCAGTTCGTCATTGACGTTGAATACGCCGTATGGTATCTTGGAAGCAACTCTCTCCTCTTCCCAGCTTCCTCGATATATATCTATACCATGACTGGTAGTAACGATACGAGTCGTACCGGTATGTATGGTAGGAGGGAACCCCATCTGCACGCCTCTCTTCTCCATCTCGAGGATGCCCTTTTTTTTTGCCCCGTCTTCCCCTTCCTCTGTCCTCCCCCTCCATCACCTGCGATCCTTTTTTTTTTTCGGCTTGTGTGTCGTTCTTGGTCGTCAATCCCTCCAGAGATTTGTGTGTGGCAGTAAAAACAAACTTGTAAAACCCTTGACTCCTTGCTGCTCGAATCGTTGAAACTTCGTAAGAGTGGGGAAAAAAAAACAATTGACAAAGAAAACATTAAGAACCTCGGTCTCCTGACCGATATCCTCTCCTTGCCCTTCCCTAATTATAAAGGAAGAGAGGGGGGAGAGGACACCATGTTCTCTTTCTTTTTTGAAGAGAGCCTTGAATAAGACGACGGAGCGCATAGCATACTCCCCTGCACCTTTTCTTGGGAGCAGCGGGAAGAGAGTGTGATGAGACGGACGCCCGGTTTTCCCGGGAAGGACAGGCAAGAGGGAGAAGACTCCTAGAGGGAGGATCACTGCCTCATATCTCGTATCTCACGCTCCTTGGCCGCCAACGTCTCGCGTATCTGCTCTGCCTCCCTCTGCAGAGCCGCACGACGGCTCATCTTCTGCGCCTCCGTCCCCCCCTGCGGCTCCGGCATGGACGGCGTGGGATCGCGCGAATGGACCACGGGGCTAGGCACCGAGTTGACCGTCGTCGCGGCTGGGGACCGCAGCGGCGGCAGCGAGCAGTCGGTCATGTCGTCGTACCGGGCGCTGCTCGAGGGGTTGAGGATCGACTCGATCGACGACAGCCGTTTCGAATGATCGCCGCCGCCGCTTCCCGTCTGATCAGGCTCTGCCGGGTACGGGTTCCGTCCTTCATTCTCGCTATAGGAGAAGGATCGCTTCCGCCGCGCCCCAGGCGAAAGATACGCCGACCCGGAGGGCGATGTTGACGACTGCCTATCCACCGTGGCTGCGGCACCCGACGCGTGCATCGAGCTGATGGGTGGCAGCCGGTTGTCGTCGTTGAGATACGGCATCGGGTGGCTAGGCCGGAGGGGCTGGTGGCGGTATGCTGACAGGTCAGATGTCACCGACATGGGTGATGGCTGGCGCTGGTCGCCCATCGAAGGCGGGCGGGGCTCGAGCGCCATAGGCTCCGGTGGCGGTTGACGCCGTGATCCGAGACTGACGGAACCGTCAGCGTTCACGCTGCCCTTCTGGGTTGCCGGCGTCCCGGACTGTTCCGGCAAGTCTCCGGGCTGCGATGACTCATCCCCATCCTCTTCCTCGCCGGCAGGGATCACGCGCTTCCTCCGCTTGATGGTGGCCTTCTTCATCGTCGTTGGCCTGTGGACGCCGTGGAGTTTATAGTACAGACCTAGCAGCACACGCAGGTTGGTCACACACGTATCGGCGAATATTCGGGGCAGGGGTTAGGTCGGGGTTCGGGGGGTTGGCTCGAGGGAGCTCGGCTGATAACTTACCACAGGCGTTGCAGATGGTGTGCCCGCTGGCATCTCTCCTCCACAGTGGCGTCACCGTCGTGCTGCAGTTCTGGCAGGCAATGACGACAGTCGAATCGTCACTCTGGCTGCGTGTGTGGACGGTGCTAGTGAGATCCGTCGCGTGGTCCACCTTGGTATCGCCGGCGCTAGCGCCTCCGTCTGAAGGAGTACCCTTGCCACGGCATCCACCACCAGACTTTTGATTTCCGACGTTGAGATTCGCACTCTTTGAGAGACGGTTGTTGAAGGCGGGGCATCCGTGGCAGCCTTCGGCACCGCCAGTCCCATTGCATTGGCCTCCGCCAGGACAGGACCCAGTAGGGGTCTGCTCAGCCGAGACATACCTGGCGCCAGGCACATTGCTTTGCGGCTTGGGCGCTATGGAAACGGGTTGGCCACTCGGCTTCTCCTGGACAACGTTGGGTGGCTTCTTGAGACCGATAGGCCTCGATGTGTTCCTGGCCTTGTAATACAGACCGCAGGCGTTGCAGATAGTCGCACCTTGCGGAGACCTGCGCCATAGAGGTGTGCGCGTAGTTCCACAGTTGCTTGAAAGGGCAGCACGTCAGTCGACGATTTGATAAGACGGAAAGGAGAACAGAAGGCGAGGGAAAACGGAAGAGAGCGGGGCTCCTTTCGCGCCATGATGGAATAGAAAGAGATCCTACCTGCAGACTTGGCCTCCTGAAGTCGGACCACTCGCCCCAGGAGATGGGCTGACCTTTTTCGTCGATCGAGCAGTGGACGACTGAGGACTCGGAGCTGACGGAGAAGGCGAGATATCCATCATGGTGGCGCTCTCGCCAGAATACGGCGATGCGCTCCTCGATTGATGCCGACTGCCTTGCTTCCCTGGGCGCAGCGACGTCTCACCTATCCGCTGATCTCTCGCTACATCGTGGACAGTTGTGGCCACGGGACGGGAGGGCAGGGCAGTGCGACCGGAAGGAGACTCTCGTCGTTCCGGCGGATGCCCGCGATGCTGGGCCTCCTCTGACATGACTATGCGGGGTGCCAAGTGGCCGGTTCGACTGTTGTTGGGCGGTGTTGGTGGTGAGAGTGGGAGCGGCGGAGGGGTCTTGCGGTCAGCCCTGTGGGCAGCGACAAGACAGGTTCGTTTGGTAGTAGATAGGTTGCAACGTTGACTGGACGGGATGGTGATAATGCCTCAGGAGGTGTTGATAAACAAGGAGACAGACCAAGTCCAGCGACCAGGAGGCGAGCCACTCGGTGATGGCCGATGTGCCCGGGGGGTCAGAAACACACGACCAGGCTTGCCGTGCTCTTTTTTTTTTGGGGGGGGGGGGGGGGGGGGCAGGGGGGGGGGGGGGGGGGGGCAAAAAGAAGTGCACGGCCCTTTGGCCAAAAGAAGGATCTCGACCACACCTGTACGAATAATACTAGTACTATAGCGTGTGTATACGTCAGCTGACCGAAACGAAGGTGTTCCCCAGGGCACAGGACCCCTAAGGGGCGTACGGAACAGACCCAGATCGGGGAGAACAATGCACCGAGGGTTAATAATGGGATGCTGTCCGAGGCAGAGCCGGTGCAATGTGCCCCAAGATGGTTGGGGGGGGGGAAAGAAGGAGTGTGAGGCCCGCCCCTTCATTACGACAGTAACAGCAGCCCACGATGCACGCACGCACGTACCTTGGAGGGGGGGGGCAGAGGGGCGGGCGCCTCTTGATGTACAGGGGTCTTCGATGTACGAGGATACAGCGTATGTACGTACGAATAATCGTACTCGTACGACGCCCGGGTTGGCTTGCCGAAGAGCAGTGAGACGGCAAGGGGCCACCTCCTTGAAGAAGAGGGATGTTGGATTCCAATGGCAAGACGTTGTGGTGAGCGGTGACAGGAGCGACTGAGATGGGCCAAAGGGGAAAACCTAGCTCGGAGACAAGAGAATCCACCTCGTGGCCTCGGGCTCGGCCTGCTTCCCAGATCAGTGTGTTCCAGCAACGCGGAAGGATCTCCAGGAAAAGCCCCAATAGGCTGCCAGAGCGTCATCGTCACTTTCCACTCTTCCCACAGGCTGGAATCGTGCAAAAGCCAATAGCTGATGCGAATTAAACCCGTCAAGTGACAGTTATTACTTTCTCATCTCTGCTATTGGCTCAATTTGTTTTCTATCTTGCACACAACTGCCTCTAGTACTTTTTTAGTGCAGCGTAGACTTCCAGTGGGCCTTTTAGTGGTATATGCTACGCTAAACCATTGTCGGTCATGTCCACTCTTTCCTCTCTCTCTCGATGCACCTGGCACCTTCCGTTCCTTCCTGGTCGTCACGTTCAGAGCGCGCCTACCTGAAGAGCCTCACATGCTGCAGCACCAGTACCGACACTACGACCTGCAGCATCCCCCCCCCCCCCCCCCCCCCCCCCCCCTCCCCCCTCCCCCAGCCCTTACCGAGTGTACTCCGCATTATGTACGAGACGGGACGAGTACATACATGAGTAGTTCCTTTTATTCACCGAGGAACATAGTGCCAAGCCGTGTGTGTACAACAAGTACATGCAGCGATATCCGTACTTGTAGCTGCGTGAGCCCTCCATCGCGACTTAGCCCCGGCTCTGTCATCGGCAGCATTCTCTTACGACGAGCCACACCCTCATCGCATCTTCTTCAACCATGGCGACAGAGTCCGATGCCCCCAAGCGCGAACCGACCCCCACGGCACCGCTCTCCTCCATCCCCCAGAAGCGCGCCCTTGATGAGAATCACGATCACAGCCCGGCCGTCTCGTCGCCTCTCAACCCCGACAACAGACCGTCCGACTCCCTACCGCCAGACGATGGCACCCAGCCCAACCGGTCAAAGTCCGCCCGGGCCAAGAAGGACAGTTTCAAGAAACGCGAGGCGAAGGGGACCGACAGCGCACGCGCGACCCCCGAGCCTAGGAGCCAGAAGGCACCCGAGCAGGCAGAGGCCAGCCCGCTGCGGTATAAGCTTGCGCCGCCAAAGACGTCGGACTTTGAGCCGCCGCGCGGTCCTGTCCTGAGCTCCCACCACAAGGCGAGCGGCCAGGCCGGCGAAGAGACGGAGTTCTTTGAGACGTCCGATCAGTAAGTCACGCATTCCTCGACTACCTGCATCAGCCACTCGTCGGTTGGCTAACACCCCGCCGCAGCGTCTTCAACAAGAAGAACTTTCGCTACACCCACTGCATAGCCGACCCCCTCTTCCCCTCGATGATATACTACCGCCAGACAGAGCCGGAGCCCTTTGGACCCCGCATGAGCTACGAAGATGCAGCCGCGCACGTCTATTTCGACTCGACCGCCCGTCAAGTCACCACTGACAAGGGATTCCGCATGGCGCGAGCCAACGTGGCCGTGAGAGAGGGCCGGTGGTACTGGGAATGCAAGGTGACGCAAGGGATACACAAGACCCAGGAGGGTGAGACGAAACCGCAGGGGGGGGTGCGGCACGTCCGCATGGGCTGGGCACGACGCGAGGCTTCGCTCGATGCCCCTGTCGGATTTGACGCCTACAGCTACGGGATCCGCGACGTCACGGGCGAAAAAGTGTTCATGTCTCGCCCCAAGAACTTCTTCCCTCCCGGCGAGCCCATCCAGGAAGGCGACGTCATCGGCCTCGAGATCCAGCTCCCCTCCGAGAGGCTGCACCGCAACGTCGTGACCGGCAACTACAACCCCGCCGTCGACCCCCACGAGGAAGGCCAGCCGCGGCGAACGGCCGAGGGTCCCAATATTGTGCGCGACCGCGTGCCCATCCGCTTCAAGGCACACACATACTTCGAGAAGATTGAGTACCACGCGACCAAGGAGCTCGAAGACCTCATGAACCCCTCCCCGGCAGGGTCCGGCGGATCCATGTCAGACGGCAACTTCAACCCCCTGCACCCGAAACCTGCCATGCGCACCCTGCCCAACTCGCACATACGCATCTACAAGAATGGAAAACTGATGGGCACCGCCTTCGAGAACCTACTCGGCTTCCTCCCCCCGGCATCCAAGCCCATGCCACAGGTAGGCGCAAGAGAAGGGCTGGACGACGGCATGCTCGGGTACTACCCCGCCGTGAGCATATTCCGCGGCGGAGCGGCCGAGGTCAACTTCGGACCCAAGTTTTGGTACCCGCCGCCGGAATCCTCCGGGGACGAGCCCGAGATGCGGCCCCTGTCGGAGCGCTACCAGGAACAGATTGCCGAGGATGTGGTCTACGACGTGATTGACGAGGTGGATTTCTGGATGCAGGATGGCGCCGGCGCTACGGACAGGTCGGGCGTGATTGACAAAAGCAATCAGGTCTCGATGGCGCCGGGGAGAGAGGAGATCAAGGAGCTGGTTCAGGAGGACTACTAGTACTGGTCCCGTGCACCAAGGATCGATGCTCAGGAAAGGAACGACAGGACGACGAGGGCGAAAAGAGAAGACAGGCATACCCCGACGTGTTGAGACTTCCATATCCATTCTGTTCTACACATCCCGTCTGTTCTAACTATCCTGATCAAGAATCCTAACTCGCAAAAAAAAAGATGTCAAGAAAACAAAAGACGATGCGCGCAAGCCCGGCCCAGTCCAGCCATATGAGACTCTTAGGCACGGTCCGAAATTCCACGTAATGTTGCTCATGTATAATCCGTTGCTTCTCTTTCTACCATGCTATTCCTTCTTCTTCGCCTTGGACGCCCCGGCGGCACTGGACTCACCCGCCTCTGCTGCTGCTCCAGTAGAAGGGGCCGGGAGGGAGAGGTCATCGGGGAGTTCCTCGATTCTCTGGTCTGGATCGACGTCTGCACCTGCGGCTTCCTGGGCGAGACGGGCCTCGCGACCGCGCTTGTGGCAGTACCAGAGGACAAACATGAGCACTAGCGTCACGAGTTAGCATCTCTCCCGTTTTCGTTTCCCCTCCCTCTCGGGGAGGAAGAGGATGCGTGCCAGATAGAAGAGGAGAGGAGGGTCGGGAGAAGTTACAGAAAAGAGCGATACTCCAGAGGACATTGACGCCCAGGAAGGCGGGCCAGCGAGCCTGGAGGGCATTGACGATGGCCCTGAGCATGCCGACCAGGGCGCCCGGCTTTGTGACGAGCTCGAGCAGGTTCTTTGGCACGAAGAGGTTCTTCGCGGCGTCCTTGACGCCGACGCCTTGGACGGAAGCCTCGAGGCCCTGGCTCTTGGCGGCAGCGGCGAGGAGCTCGGGGGCGATGGTGGCGGTCAGCTTCTCGGGCAGCTGGGTGACGAGCTTCTTCATGGAGGAGGGGAGCTTCTCGAAGCCGCGGTTGATGGCGCCGTCCGGGTCGCTGACGAGCCCGACCAGGTCGTCGTAGGCCGTGGGCACGCCGTTGGCGAGGTCCTTGAAGACCTGGGTGAAGCGCCGGAGCAGCGCGGCCGACTCGTCCGACATGGACACGACCTTGTTATTCTGGGCCGACAGGTTCATGCGGTCCAGGACGCGCTCGATGTCGCGCTCCTCGCGCTCAACCTCGGCCTCGTCGTCGTCCGTCGTGGTGGCGGTGTCGTTTGGTGTCGCGGCAGCCGCGTCGGACGGTCTGAGCGTCGGCCCGTGCTTCTGCTTATTGCTGTTGTTCCTGGTGCCCTTGCGCTGAAATAGGCCGGAGAAGCGGCTGCCGATGGTGGTGGTGGTGGTGGCGGTCGAGCCCTTCTCTGCTTCGTTCTTGTCCGCTGGTTCGGCCTCCCTGCCTTTGCCCTTGTCCTCGGGCTTGGATCTGGATTTCTTGTCCTTCTTCTCATCCTTGGCCTTGATGTCCGTGATGGACGACGCATCGGATGGCCAGTCGATATCTGGTACCTGGTTCGGCGACGTCGTCGCCCCAGGCGCGTCGTCGGACAGGAGGCTCTGCAAGAACGACTCGTCTGATCGGTCTAGCACCGGCCTGGCGGGCAAGGGAGGAGGGGTATCATCGTCGTCGTCGTCGTCGTCGTCGTCGTCGTCTTGCTCTTCGTCACCTACCTTGATTCCATGGTCGACAAGCTTCTCCTTCTTCTCTGTCGATGTCGACGTCTGGTGCCTCGCTTCCTCGGCTGTTGCTGCCGCTTCCTCTTCCTCCTTGACCTTTTTGGCCGCCCTGTGCTGCTTGATCTTTTTGACGGTGAAGTATTCGAGCATTGCTGATGTCTGTTCTTTTTTTTGGGGGGGGTAGGGAGGGGGGGTTTCTTTTCCCCGGGGGAGGGGGGGGGGTTAAATCAAAGGTATACTAGAAGAAAAGAAGGTATAAAGTCGAGGTGAAGAAATGGTGGGTAGGTACCCAAGATGGTCTTATCTTTATTGTTTTGCTCAAGAAGAAAAAATCACGACAAACAGAAAGAACAGCAATCTGTACAAGAACTAGAAACAAAAAGAAGTACGATAGAACAAGGGGGCCCCTCCGGGGGGCGGCTAATGTGCCGTCATGGAAGCTCCTCAGCTAATCGTTGTGTTTAGCGTGGCGCAATCTGACGGACCGAGTAGATCTTTGCCCAAGCCACGATTTTGATATCGCGGGGGGGAGTGATGTCATTAGCCACGATTCTCTAGATCTTGTGCTCCATACATGCTTGCGGCGCAAGGGTTTTATCCCATCTTTCAACTCCTCACTCGTGCCCCAACCACCTGGTGCTCTTTTTTTTATCATCATCTGGAGAGATTAGAGGCTACTATTGCTCGTGTGCCCTTTTTGACGTGCGGAAAAATTAAGAAGAGAGAGTGGCGGGAATGTTATATCGAATCATGGGTATCTTTCGCATCATGGGTATCTTCTCTATATTACTATGTATCTCTCTTCCTTATCGGAGACAACTTTGGGTAAAGTGACATGAACCTTCCTTAATCCTCATCTTCAGTCTTTGGCACCGCGTCTCCTTCCTCATCTTCGTCATCGTCGTCGTCATCGTCATCGTCGTCGTCACCATTATGTGATATCCTCGGTGATGCTGCCGCCGCGGGCCTCGGGCGCCTCCGTCCCCTCTGAAACGCTTCTGTCTGGGTAACCGCCCGCTCGCCGACATAGCTGGTGCCGGCCCAATCCTTCTTGCACCGCGGGCACCTGCCACCAGGGTGCACGCGCCAGAAGGCGTCTTGGCAGGTATCGTGCAGGCGAAAGACGCACGAAGGGTCTGCGCACCGCAGGCCGTACGTCAGGATATCTTTGCAGGCGACGCAGAACTTGACGCGCTGCCACTCGTCTGCCTCGGCGTCCGGATCGTTGTACGTCTCGACGAGCCAGGGACGGAGCTCCAACAGGCCGCGCGGGGTGAGGCTGTAGAACTTCTCGCGGCTGCGCTCCAGCCACCCGCCGTCTACCAGGCTGGCCAGCACGTCTTCCACCTCGCCATGCTTGAGACCGCGGTCTACCGCCGCTGCTCCTCCACCTCCCTCGACGTCGTCGTCTTGGGGGTTCTGCTGTGCGCTCTGCCGCCGGGAACTCGACGGTGCCGGTCGGGACAGCTTCATGGCCTGCATCTGCGTCAGGGCCATGACCTCCATCCGCGGCGTGTTGTACGTCTCGAACATGGCGTCGAGCAGACGCTTGATGAAGGATAGCTCGCCCGGGCTGTACGTCGTGGCCAGCTGCGTCTGCGGGTCCGACGTCGTGTTGACCAGCACGTACACCCGCTTCTTGGTCCGCTGGTGCAGCGTCGTCCGGATGTCGTAGTCGAACAGCGACACGGCCTGCCGCGCGATGTCGATGTAGTCTAGGAAGTACTGCTCCGTCACGTCGGCGGCCGCGTACTCGCGCGAGTCGTCTGCACCCGCACCGCAGGCGCCGGCCTCGAGGGCAGTCCATATGGCCGCGATCACCGGTCGAGCTTCGTCGTAGCTCATGGTGCCGCGTGCTAGCAGGCTCTGCACAAAGGCCCGATGGCCAGGCCCGTAGTTTGGGTCCAACAATTCTTCCATGACGCGGAGCAGAGCAGCCAGTATAATTTTGATTCTTTTTTTTTTGGATCTGAACGAGGTACGGAGCAGGATGTCGACAAAAGAAAGAGGGAGAGAGAGGGGAGCGCGTATGTCCGGTTTGGCGTGAATGAGCATACAACGTGTTGGATGCGAGGGGAGCGGGTTCGACGCGTCGCTCTCTACGCCACTATCCGACCATCTCTGGTGGGGACTCGACAGCTGCGGATAGTTAAGTAGTACTCCGTAGTAACGGCTGCCATACATTACTCGTAACATTGACGTGGCGGCGGTAAGTTGGGTAGTAGATTCACATGTCATTCCGATTTCCATATATACATCATGACAGTCCAGCAAAGTCCGATATCTGGTCCTTCCCAGTGCTCAACCTGCTGCTCCTTGAACCAGAGCTGCAGAGGAAGCCTGATGGAGTTTCTGCTGACTCATCCCACCAAACCCCGTTGCCCAGCTTGCTTCAAGCCCTGGAACAAAGGATGTCCCATCCGATTCCCATTGCATTCATCTCAGCCAGCGCGGTACGAGTTAACGCCGTCATTCACATCTAATCCTGATCCTATCCTCTAGACCTTCAATCCCGAGATACGTGGGCTGACGCTGGTTGGACCTGTGCGCCGAGAGACGACGCCTGACCCTGGACGCGCGACGCGCATCAGAGCACCCCGTTTTCACCCAACAAGAACGCTCATCCCCAGGAGCCAAATTTAATTTTCTTTTCCCATTGCCGGTGTCTGATAATTCACGATCCTGGTTGCGAATCTCGAGCTCCTCGTCGGCAAAGAGAAGTTGTATGCGTCGTGGCAGTACCTCCTCCCGTCGAGGGAGCCGCATGCACCATCACCGAGCGAAGCTGCATGATTGAGAAAAAAGAAGAAGAAGAAGAAAGCAGCGCTCTCCGTTCAGAGTCGGGGTAGACGAGGCTCTCGAGAGGCCTGAATGCCGAGGGGGGAAAGGCGAAGATTTTTTTTTATTTTTTTTTTTTTGGAAATCTCTTGTTTTCCATCTTCAAACTTTTCTCTGACCCTCACCCCATTGTGGCCATGACTTCGGAGACAAAGGATTTTGACGTAATTCGCGTCTGTCGCAGCGATGGTGCGGATTCAGGACCAGGCTACTGGCCCGCACCGACAATACCATCACTCTCCGGCGCGGTCAAGAAGACGGTGACCGATAAGATCCCAAGAGCCAAGCCTCAGATGACGCGGCTGGCCGAGGATGATGCTCGGTTTGTCGAATGGAGGGTGAAGCTGGGGATACTACTCAAGCAGGAGCTATCTCCTACTCCCGATGGTATGTTTGATATCCATCTCTCTCTCTTTCTCTCCTGGCCAGATACCTTTTATACAAAAGCGGCAACGACGAAGAGAGACGGTAGAGAGAAAAAGAAGGAAGACATGATAACAGTAAGATACTGACGGAGAAAAAAAAATCGAAAAGAGGGAAACGCCTGGTACGTCCAGTTCCCGAGGGGATACTGGCTGTATGAACGGTCCAAGCACCTCTGGGTGTCGGGCTACCCCATCAAGGCCAAGCTGTTCAAGACGCCCCAGGAGTTCGCCCTACACCTGATCTGGCTCCTCTCCTCGTCGTCGGACTACAAGGACTGCTGCTGCGTGCACTGCAACCTGCCCAGCCTGCCACGGCAGTCGTCCTCTACGGGTGAGGACACGCCCATCCTGTCGACCAGGGAGTCGCCCATCAAGCCAGATCCCAGCAAGTCCTCCTCGTCGTCGTCCAAGGTGACCCCCGTGCCCCTCCCGCCTCAGATATCCGGGGCCAACACCCCCTCCGGCTCACCAGCACCACCCTCCTCGGCCGCTATCCAGAAAGCAGCAGCGACAGCAGCGACAGCAGCGACAGCACAGCAGCGGTCCCAATCATCTGCCTCTCCTGCTCCTGCTCCTGCCCCTGCTCCTGCTCCTGCTCCTGCTCCTGCTCCTGCTCCTGCTCCTGCTCCCGCGCAGGCACAGCAGCAGCAAGTCACCTGGGCGCTCAAATCATCACTGCTATTCCGCGTAGGTGAACTTGTATGGTACCGCAACGGCACGACATGGCGACTAGGCGTGATATCCGCGAGCAACTCCACCCCCAATACCAACGGCGGTGGCGGTGGCAGCAGCCAGCACGAGCTCGTCCCCATCGGCCACGCAGCCGTGCAGCAGCGCGTCGCGACCAAGACGACAGAGGACATGCGACCGTTCCTGGCGTTCAGCGTCCCGCCCGTGGCCATGGCCGAGCTCAAGGACAAGCTATTCGACCAGGTCCCGTGGGAACACATGTTCCATCAAGTCGCCGCCGCTGCTGCCGCCGCCGCCGCTGCTGCTGCAGGTCCCCCCTCCGGAGCCGGGGCCAGCAGCAATAGCAAGCGCGACCTCCTCGCCCTCGACGCCTCCAAGATGGCGGCTCTGAAGATCGACTACTCCCACTCCCTGTGGTCTCCCATGTCCGAGGACCCGGTCGGCAAGACGGTCTCGTACTACGGGTGCTTCCTCGGCGCCGAGCGCGTCGAGATAGGCGACTGCCTCCGCCTCAAGTCCCTCCCCGCCGAGCTGGGTCCGGCCGCCGCCGCCGCCGGCGAGTCGGCCGTCCTCGGCGTGGGCGCGATCTTCACGTCGGCCAACCTCCCCGGCGACGTCCTCTTCCGCGGCCACGCCTACATGCTTGTGCGGGCCGACGGGAAGAATGCTCCCCCCGGCGCCGCGCCCGTCCAGCCCGACAATCTGCCCATCGCCCTGAGGGACGAGGTCGGCTGGCGAAATTCGCTGGGCGGGAATGCCGCCGCCGCCGCCGCCGCCGCCGGCGGCGGTGGCTGGTCGTGGGTCATGGTCAAGGACGGTGTCGTCCTGGGGGAGCAGTACATACGCGGACGTTTCTATCCCACACACCGGCTCATGCCCATCCTCGACATGTCCAGGTTCCAGCACGCCGTGCAGCAGGGCCAACTCGACGGCCACGCCCAGCTGGCCCATCTGAATAACCGTATGGAGGGGGCCGGGAGGTATATCGGCAGGAGGATGAGCAGGTTGGACACGCTCGGGGGTTCAGTACCGCACGGCTGTCGGTTGGCTATGGAGGATCATGTCAGGGAGGATGTGGGTCGGTGATTTCTCGTCATGTTTCTCCCACCTTTTCTATTTCTTTTTTTCAGATTCCTCTTTTTTTTTTCTTTTGACGATTTCACCTCTTCTCGTTATTCGGTAAGTTGTCTTATATAGCTTTGCTGTTACTCGTCCTTGCTTGCTCTATAGCTTGTACATATACATAAACATACGTTTTCACGTTACTGCAGGAGAAATATCTTTTCACACACGTCATCAATGCAAGAGAGAGAATTGTCAGACCCCCAGAATATCTCTTTTTTTTCATTATTCAAAGGAAGGGCAAAGGATTGGGGGGGGGGGGGGGAGTTGTAGAATCGGGGGAAAATGAGGGTGATGATTTAATATGTTGCTTAGAGACTCTTCAAGTCCCAGAATAAGATGGTAAGAAAAACAAAGAAGAAGAAGAAACCCCAGCAGGGCTTCTTTCTCTCTTCTTCTCTCCTTCTCCTCTCCTTCTTCCTCTCTCTCCATTCACTGGAAGACGAAAGATGAGAGAAGAAGAGAAGAGGAGAGAGGTAAGAATGTAAAGGGGACGGTATGCACTTTCCTATGCATGTGTACATGCAGGAGGAGAGAGAGGTAGGACGGGGTCGGGTGGAACGTCGTCAGGTAGCAGAGACGCTGATGGCTTCCAGCTTTTCGGCGAGGGATCTGACAACCTCTGGGTCTGGCTCCGGATCGACCTTGCGTGGTTTGGCCCGAGGGGACTCGTCCGATTTTTCGACGCCGCACTTCTTGCAGGGTGTCCCGTGTTCGGATCCGGTCGGGTATATGGTCTTGCAGGAGACGCATTCGTAGTGTGGGATGCTGCTGGGGCCGAATTCGTCGCCTGGGTACCCGAGGGGATACTTGTCTTTTTTGGATCTGGTGGGGGGGGCCGGGTCAGTAAGCTGCGTGGGTACTGCGTGCAGACCACCGCTCCCAAGGTGGTAGCGGGGAGGATAGACGAAGGAAGGAGAAGGGGGAGAAGAAGAAGGAGAGTGTCAGAAACATACGGGTTTCTGGGACAGTCTGTGCAACGTCTGTGGTTACACTTGGCGCAGATCTTGCTATTAGAGGCAAAGACGGCCTCGCACTCGTGGCAGGTGCGTCGGACGCGCTGGCGGGGTTTCTTGTAGACGAGATCCTGGCCGCCATTCTTTCCGGGGCGGGTGAGGACGATGCGGTTGGCGGCCGTCTGGGGCGAGTGGTCGGGGACGATCGGGGCGTTCTCGCGGTTGGCCTTGATGATGGCCGCGCGCCTCTCCCGGCTGGCAATGACCTCGGCCTCGGAGCGCTTGGGCGGGTAGCGGGCGCACTTGGTGCAGCGGACGTGCGCACAGTTGGGACACTCCTTGGCCGAGGCGAAGCTGGCGTTGCAGACGTGGCAGGTGCGGCGGACGCGCATGCGGATGGGCTTGTCGACGCGGAGGACCGTCTCGCCGGGGCGGGTGTCCTGCCATTCGCTGGCCTTGATCTCGAGGCCGAACCGCTCACCTAGCTTCTTGGCCCGCTCCTCGAACAGCTCGGCCTTGGAGAGGCGAGAGACGCCGGGCATGGAGGCGTAGTATTGCTGGCTGCGCGGTCTGGCGGTGACGGGGACGGCCTTGGTCGCGGCGGAGGCGGAAGCGGAGGCAGAAGCGGCACTGCAGCGTCACCCCCCAAGTTAGCCATTCATCTCCTCGACATCATCACCATCATCGCCTCGCCCCCTTCCACAGTACAGGCGGTCCCTTACGGCTTGGATCCGGCTGCGGCACCATCATCCTTGCGCTTGGAAGATGCCTCGCCTCGGCGGAGGGCCGTCTTGGCCCGCGAGAAGAACTTGGTCAGACTCTTGCGCTGCTGCTGCTTCTCGACCTTGGCGGGCATGTCCTTGGCCGGAGTCGCCGCGGGCGTGGGCGTGGGCGTAGCCTCGGGTCGGGAGCTCATCTTTTGCTGGCGTGCGGCGGGAAGGATGAATTCAATCGATCGTGATCGTTTTATGGCTGTCGATGATACACAAGAGACTGGCGATTTGATCTCGACAGCAGAAATGTGGTACGAGCAGAGGCCTTTGAAACGCGCAATGGGGGGGG